GGCATCAAAGATGGCAAATATAAAAGGTATAAATCGACAGACACAGGGATATTCCCCAATCACTCTGATTAGAGGGGGTACATGTAATTCCCTTACTCTGGAGATTAGAAATCAGCTTCCATCTTTTCAAAGCTTCTGAAGACAGCATAATACTGTGCAAATAGGCACACAGGTGTTTATTTTAGTCTTTCCATTTCTTCCTAGGAATATGTAACTCCTGTGCTCAGAGCAGTTACTCTGAAAAGGGCGTCGATAAACACACCAAATTCAAGAAACCTTTACTATTGTGGTCTGCAAAAGCAACGTAGATTGATGCCTCCTTAACGTTTGTGAACTTCCCTTGCACACCACACGGAGGTGAGATGAACTTAATTTGCGTGGGCATACGTTCCTCATTTCCAAGTATGTGTCACCCAAAAGTACACAACATGAAAACGATGCTATTCAGTAAGCGGTGAGTTTCTAAGCAGACTGAGCACTTCAAGACTGGTTTCTACTTTGGGAAGCAACATAAACATAAAGGGTCATAAAACGATGTGATTATAAGAGGCAAACCACCACCTTCCACAACACGCCAGAGCGGGCTGCTCACAAATGAGCAATAAAGCAAGCCACTCACATGGAAAAGCAGAGGAAACACACACAGTGCAGAATTAAAACAAAAAAAAGTATCAGAAAATCCCCAAACTCTATTGCTAGTTCTATAAAGCCTTTTTAAAAGCATGTTGTTTCCTTTCGCACATTTACTTAAATACATCATAGACATTTACCATCTACTTCTAAGAATTTAAGAAAATAGCCTAGTCTCTCCCCACTACCCACTACTCATCAGAATTTTGTTTATGTTCCTGCACTGATGGCTCAGGCCCACATATTTACTTTGTTCTGGGACAGTCACTCAAATATCAACTGAGTGCACACTGTGGGCCATCCAGCCCTCTAGGTCTTATAGATTCACCAGAAAATTAATAATAATAATAAAACATGATTTTTGCTTTCATGGAGGTTACGGAAATGGATGATTAAAAATAAATATATAATATGTAAGGTGTTTAAAAAAGTAAGATAGGCTAGCAGTGGTTCTCAACCTTTTGGCCCTTTAAATATAGTTCCTCAATTTGTGACCCAACCATAAAATTATTTTCGTTGCTACTTCATAACTGTAATGTTGCTGCTGTTATGAATTGTAATGTAAATATCTGATATGCAGGATGGTCTTAGGCGACCCCTGTGAAAGGGTCGTTCAACCGCCAAAGGGGTTGCAACCCACAGGTTGAGATCCGCTGGGCTAGAGGATAGAGATGGGGTGGATGCTATTTTATACAGGTCAGGGAGGGCTACTTTGAAAAGGTAACTTGAGAAGTCCTATTTAAGGAAGCAGGGAAGCCCAGGAAAGAAATATGGATCACCAGCTCAAACATTTACAAAGTAAGTAAATGTTTGAGTATGAAGGTGGACAAAAAAGAAGTTAATTTCAAAAGTGGCTCATATTTAATTTTCACGCAGACCCATGGGTGTGGTTCCTAAATGTAACTGACTACAACTATATTCTTAGAAAGCACTCTAGTGAACACCTTTGAATGGCCCCGTGGTGCCTGGGAGGGCCTGGTGGAAAGGGTATCATGGTAAAGACAGAAATAATAATTCTTTTTCTTCACCAAAACACTGTGCTCAACATTTTAAAAACAGCAGTGCATTAAAACTGTGCCAAATCATTGACTACCTAAAAGTTTATGTTCAGAACGCCTTTGAAAACCTCACTTACTGTTTGAGGCTTGACATGGTATCACATGAGCAGTTCAAAGCAATGGTTTAAACAAAAACCCACAAGATTAAAAAAAAAAAAGGTTAGATTGATTATAGTAACTGCAGTGCTCATTACAATGTAATCGGAAACCTAAACCACTTTTTCATAAGACACTTGTTTCCTAGGATGAAAATGCTTTAAAACCATTTCCGGAAGTACATTCTAATAGCTACCTGATTGAGAAAACAATTTCCAGTAAAACACACTGATATTGCAGCTCCCAGATCTCACAAGCCCCAGATTATTCCATAATAGCAAAGGACACTTTCACAATAAGAGATACTTTTGATTAAGTATTAAAGTGCCTCATACGGGGGTCCCAAACCAAGATGCCAACTGATCCATAAGCAGTAGCCTGGAGCAAGTTACAAACTCACAACATACCACTTCATGGGGTCAGTGACTTGCCCAAGGTTGCAAACTTAGTTGTCCTTGACAATAGGATGGGGAACAGGATTCAGATCAATTGATTCCAGGAGTTGTGTACTTTCCACTAGAACCAAGGTGCTCATACGTACAAAATGGAAACACATTAAAACACCAGCATCACTCATAGTCTGTTCACTATGACACACTGGGAGACTTCCAATGTAATAAATTTACCTTAATACACTATTTAAGCCATGTATATAGATAAATATGCACACTTTAATAGAAAATATTTAGAAAACCATGAAATAAAAAAATTCAGTGGAAATTTTTCTCTTCAATGTTAAAGCTTTTTCTCCCTGATATATGCCCTCATATTACTAAACCTTGCTTCTCAAAATATTTTATGAAACTGGAAAAAATATAGGTAATAAGCACCTGGAAAAGTTTCCTGTGTTATTAAGCTGAAAACTTAAAAAAAATATATATATATATTTACACATATGTGTGTGTACACACATAAAAACAAGTATATGTATTTATGTATACACTCTAGAGGCCCAGTGCACAAAATTCGTACACTGGGGGATGGGGTTCCCTCAGCCCAGCCTGCCCCTCTCACAGTCCGGCAGCCCTCAGTGGATGTTCTACTGATGGCCACAGTCTGGCAGCAGAGACTCGGAGCAGGCATCCCGTGTGTGTGTGTGTGTGTGTGTGTGTGTGTGTGTGTGTGTGTGTCTGCGGGGGGCGCGCCCACCCAGACACACTGTGGAGGCTTAGAGCAGGCACCCCTCTATTTTGATCTCTCAGGCTCCTGGCCTCCACTGCATGTTGAACTCTCCCTTGAGCTGTGGCCAGGGTGGGGTGCTACCTGCAGGCCGCACTTTCCTGCTCACAGATCACCGGATCAGCACGGAGGCCCGGGGGCAGGCCCTCCTGGGTGCTGCCTGCCGCTGCACTTTCCTGCTCTGGGATCGCCATGATGACCCAGGAGGAGGCCCACCTGGGGGCTGCCTGCCCTCTGCACTTTCCTGCTCTGGGATCGCCATGGTGACCCAGGAGCAGGCCCACCTGGGGGCTGCCTGCCCTCCCACTTTCCTGCTCTGTGATCGCCATGATGACCTAGGAGGAGGCCCACCTGGGGGCTGCCTGCCCTCTGCACTTTCCTGCTCTGTGATCGCCATGATGACCCAGGAGGAGGCCCACCTGGGGGCTGCCTGCCCTCTGCACTTTCCTGCTCTGGGATCGCCATGGTGACCCAGGAGCAGGCCCTCCTGGGTGCTGCCTGCAGACTGCACTTTTCTGCTCACCGATCACTGGATTGCCACGGTGATCCAGGGGCAGACCCTGCTGGTTGCTGCCTGTGGGCAGCACTTTCCTGCTCTCAGATCACCATGGGTCCTGGCTGGCAGCAAGGCTTAGGCGGCACACGGGGGTCCTGGCTGCGGGGCGGGGTTTAGGCGGCGCAGGGCTTAGGCAGCACACAGGGGTCCTGGCTGGGGACGGGGCTGCACATGGGGCCCCGATGGCAGCTTGTGCTGTCCCGCCTTGCCTGCAGTATGCAAATTAGACGCCATCTTTGTTGGCGGCTAATTTGTACATCACGCTGATTAGCCAATGGGAGGCATAGCGAAGGTATGGTCAATTACCATCTTTTTCTATTATTAGATAGGATAACACATACAAATATATAGTATATATTAAGTGTGTGTATAAAGTATATATTGCATTAAGCATGTATATATTTATAGACATATGTATAAGACCCTAGTCACAGCTGGCTCTTCACTTTCTAAACTGTGAAGGTAGTATGTTCCTAGGCCATCCTGGGCTTCCTGGAGCTGTATTCTTTCCTGGTCAAAACTCTTCTAAGCTGCCCAGTTGGCATGGCTCAGTGCTTGAGTGTCGACCTATGAACCAGGAGGTCATGGTTCGATTCCTGGCCAGGGTACTTGCCCACGTTGTGGGCTCAATCTCCAGTGTGGGGTGTGCCTGAGGCAGCCGATCAATAATTCTCTCTCATCATTGATGTTTCTATCTCGCTCTCCCTGTCCTTTCCTCTCTGAAATCAATAAAAATATACACTAAACCAACAACAACAACCTCTTCTAAACTTTTGGGGACATGGTCTAGCTCTGTGGTAAAATCTCCAGAAAGCAGAGCTGGCCCAACCCCTAAGTGACTTGGCGGGTAAGCCCTTTGAAGCCACCGGGTACTGTTTCTTCAATTACTTGGTCCTCAAATGCCTCACGGAAGGTGACCAGCCGCTGACCTGCAGGACCTACCTGACTAATCTCAAAGTCCCAACCCAGAAGCCCCATAAAAACCAGTCAACCAGCCAAGTTTCAGCAAGAGAAGCACCTAAAACAACTAACTATACTTGCAAACCTCAGATTTTTGAAAACCAAAAAAATTCATTCCAATCAAACACTACACACCAATAAAAATCACTGCTGGTGGCAATTCCGGTGGCTAATTCTTAGCCCAGAGAATGTGAGCCTTACCCATCAACCTAAAAGAACGGCGAGGCTGTTTAAGTTTGATACCACTGAACTGCACCAGAAGCAAGGGCAATCCTACAATGAAAGAATCACTGTATCCCACGCTTTTTTCCTGAAGGAGAAAGTGAGCAGTGCTTCATAGAAGCTGGGAGAAAGGCAAGTTTGCAGCAAATGAAAACAGAACCTCTCCCTTAAAAAAAAAAAATTGGATGATCACCTAGCACTAATATGAACACCCCTTCATTGGCCTGGCTCAGCCACATCCAATGATTCACGACTCCTTGCAAGGCAAGCTGCTGCAGATGCTGCTCCTGTTAACTTACAACATTCACTGTGCACGGTTCACTGGGAGCCCCAGCCTTCCTTCACCATGGAGACTTCCCACGAGAAGCTGGAGTGCTCCTGGGCTCAGGCGTGTTCTTTCCTCTTTCACAGAGACGTGAGGAAAACCTAGCAAGGGAATAGAACAGAAGAGAAAGGTCAATGCACCATCAAGTCATTCTTTATCCCAACAAATGAAGTTCACAATCAATTAGACTAATTGATCATTCGCCAAAGACCATTCTCCACTACCTCTTTGTGAAAAAGAAATTCAATAGTTTTGCTCTTGCCCCAGGAGACACAGCAGCATGCCACGGCCAACCTTTCGCCCTGCTCCTCCCTGCCCCCCATGAGCTTGAAGCCAGCTCTGGGAGACTTCAGAGGCAATCCCAGCTGAGATGCAAACTTGCAACACAGCCTCAAAATAGGCCCTTGGTTTTACTCTCTGCAGAAAGGAGGGAGCTGGGACCTTTTGCCATTTTCATACCTCACTGGGTGGTTGGGAAGATCAATAAGATCACTCTTGCAAAGCACTCACAGTTTCTTAGAAGAAAGGCACCATATAAACACAAAGCATTGTCAGTGGTCATAAGCCTGTTACAGAGCTCTGAGCCAGAATATAAAAGCCAGCATTGGCCAGCCACCAACAACTGACAGTCCCTGGGGCCCTCAAACTTCTAAACCTCAGCCAGGGCGACCAGGCTGATTCCTCCTTCCAGGAAGGGGCTGGGGAAGGAGAGGTCTGGAATCCCAGGGAGAAAGAAACTGAGGGCCTGGGGCAGGAAAGGAAGAGGAAAGGGGAGTGGAAGGTGGTGAGAGGCATGTGCAGGCGCATCATGACTCGGTCCAGCCACAGAACTCCCTGGGGTGGCTGGTTTGCAGTATTTAGTGCACTGGAGGTTTGCGGGACTGTGAAATTTTCCACTTGGCCGTCTGCCATTTCCGCCCACCAAGGATAACACTTAGACACAGTTGTGGTGCACAGAGGACCTGTGGGGGAAGGACTGGATCATTCGTGTTTGTTGCTTTTAAAGAAAAGACCTATTCATATTTTGATCATTAATATTTTCCACACCTGGATTTTTAAAATTTTTCCCTTCTTGAAGACAGAGCCAGAAATAGCCTTTCCTGGGCCAATATTATCGAGTTATTTTGACTTGGGAATCCTTGAGGATCATACTTGAGGTAAAGGAACATACATCAGTGGCGTTGGGGACAACAGAAAACAGATTTAAGTGCTGCGCTGGGATCCTGTTTGCTTCCCAAGTAAGTCACCCCCAAGGGCCTTTCAAAGTCATGAGCACACGCTGAGTAAAGGCGGGAGTTGCAGCATTAGCATTGTGGGTGTAATATTTTTGAGAGAAAAAAGTGGTCCCTTATCTCAAAAAAAAAGAGACAACAATGAATGATGTCAAACCTTAGATGTGGAATTGGTAAAACACTGACAAATGCTACCTCAAAATAAAGAACTAAAAACTGGAGAGAAAGAAATTAGGACAGAAGAGAGAAAGGAGGTGCCTGCTGCCGATATAATTACCCATGCTTTTATAGTGAACACAGCTCACAAAGTGCTTGCTTATGAATTAACTCACTCATGCCAAAGTTTTACTTGGTGCTTAGCATATCCACCAGGCTCTATATTTCAGTGGTGAGCAAATCAGACAAGAACCATGCCTTTAAGGAGCTCCTTGCCTCACAGGGACGCCATTAAAGAACCCTAGCCCACTCTTTTTAGTTTATGTATAAAATGTGAACACTGAACAGGTATTGTGAAGGAAAAATAAGCACTGCCATTTGAATTCATAATGGGGTAGGTACCCCATTTGAAAGGAGGGGCTCAAAAGGCTTTTCTCACAAAAGTGATGTTTAAGCAGAGAAGTGAACGATGAGAGGAAGTTAGCCAGGCATGGGTTTCCCGGGAGAGAAAACAGCCTGTCCTTAGGGGATGTCATCCAGAGATGAACAACTGAGTTCTATGTCCTCTTGATTTTTCCTGGCCACTTCAACTGGGTCTCCTTGATTAAAATCAAGAATTAAGCAATAGATTTTATATTATTAGCTAGGGTTATTGTGGTGATTGCTTTGCAATATACAGACATATAGAATCGTTGTTGTACAGCTGAAACTAACATAATGTTACATGTCAATTGTATTTCAATTTTATTTTTTTATAAAAAAGCTGATTCTTCTTCCTGACTGCCAGGCCCATCAGAGCAGCGCACACTTAGTGGTTTCCTGGAGAGGAACCCCATAAGTGCAGGTATTAAATCTGATATGACAGCAGAGGTCCACTCTGGCCGCCTAATGCATCTCACTCACCCCATCATCACAAGAAAAAGAAGCTCTCTGCTAACACCTGCATGCCACAGCTGGAGTTCAGAAAACCCTCTCCAAAAAGAGCTAAAAACAGATCCCATCACATGTAAATGTCAGAAAAAAAAATCTTAGTACTTTGCATTAGGTTTCAAATTTGCTGGCTTCCTCTGATTAACAATTTTTTTTTATTTCTCTCATGCAGTTAAATTGCATTTATATCCACCTACCTAATATATTATAGGTCAACTGTAATTGGAAAAAAATCAAAATTTATTTTTAAAAAAGAGTGTTTTAGAAACTTTGTGTCTTGGTTTGTGGCTTGGTTATCCATGTGAGTAATACTTTGCAAAGAAATAAAATTGTTCCCTATGTCCCAGATCTGGTACAATTTAATTCTTCCACTAAGGAAAATCAGTTATTTGCTTTCCTCATCCTACGAAACAAAGGCTTCCTCAGACAGGCTTATTCATGTACTCCCCGTTGATGGAGTAAGTTTGAAAATCTATTTGAAACAAATAAGCCAAACTTTTATCTGCATCTCTTTCCATTTAAGATACCCAGGATAAAATGTAATTTCTCCTACAAGTTTCTCATAAAACCAAAAATAATAAAACACTCCAAGTTCAGTCTTGAAATACAAACCCTCGCTTTGACTCAGTAGCTTTGACAAACTAGAAAACTTGGAAAGAAAAGGGAGGGCAAGGAAAAGGACTTCTTGAACCTGAGTTGTCCACCAGTCCCCCTAGCAGCCCTGGGAAATTCTGCCTGGCTGACAGCTTCTTCCTGGCGAGAGGAGCAAATGACAGCCTGCCAATTTCTCCTTCCCCTGACTGCCCACAGCACTTACAGTCTCTATCACACATTTTAACCCAAGTCCTTTTCAATTCCGCGTTCAGTTATATTGTCTGTTTATATTCCACTGGATTTATTTAAGTCTTGAAGGCTTGAAAAGCTTTTAAGCTCCTTGGTGAAAGAAAGCTTGCCATGCCCTTCTTTTGCAGCCTCCTCAGAGTGTCTGTTAGAAGAGCCTGAATTTAAATTAAATGATCCATTTCCAAAACCTGTTCTACGACTTGAGCTGTACTCCAAAGGAACCACTGCTCTCTAGCTATAATCTAAGCCCTTCTCATTTTTCTCTGGCCTCCAGGGACTGCAGCTCCTACGATGCCTACCATCCAAATGAAAGTCCTCCATACACTGGAGAACAATTAAGTTATAACTCAGCTCTCCTCCTCTGTTCTTCCGGTCCATTGTATTTTTAGTGGCGGGTGGCTTTTGAACAGTTGCCATCTCCTTTGAAGATTTACAACCCACACCGCACCCCAGGTCACTGGGAACCTATATCTTTGATCCTTGCAGTTTTTCAAAAGCCATTATTAAGGAAACCCTTGTGTGTGGAGGGGAGATGAATGAAGTGCTTCTTAAACCTCAACCACCATCAGAAAAACCTGGAGGTCTTGTTCAACCGTGTTGCTGGGTCCCATCCCCAGAATTTCTGACTCAGTAGGTGGGGGGTTTCTAACCAGTTCCCAGGTGGTGCTGATGCTGCTGGTCCAGGGACAATACTTGGAGAACCCCTGCTCTAAGGGCAAGTCTTCGTGGATAGATAGCCAGACAGAAGCTAAGGGTCTTCTGAGTATATTCAATCACTCTCGGAGGAGGGCTACATTGGAAGGACTCTTACCTGTCTATTCCAAAGAGGTGACAGATGACCAAAAACCAAAAGGCTCACACACTTTATAATCTGGGGAAACTTCTGGTGGTTTTCAGCCTGGAGTCTTAGTCTATTCTCTTCCTACTGGCTTCAGGTCCTTTCAGGGTCAATGCAGCCCTCTGTCTCTCCTTCCATCTTTTTCCTTTACTAGAAACTCCTTACAAAGGTATCAGCCATTGTTATTCCTGAAAGACCTTCCCCCTATCCTGGTAACATTCCCTTATGGCTGTCACCTTTCTCCTGTTCACCAACAAACATGTTAACGTGTTGTATAATCCCAAGGTTGGTATTTTCCCAGGCACATCTTAAACTCTTGGAGTTTGACTTCCACCCCTTTTGTGTGTGTGTTTTCTTTTGTTGTTGTTGTTTCTTTTTTCCCCCCAAAATATATTTTATTGATTTTTTACAGAGAGGAAGGGAGAGAGATAGAGAGTTAGAAACATTGATGAGAGAGAAACATCAATCAGCTGCTTCCTGCACACTCCCTACTGGATATGTGCCCGCAACCAAGGTACATGCCCTTGATGGGAATCAAACCCGGGAACCTTGAGTCCACAGGCCGACGCTCTATCCACTGAGCCAAACCGGATAGGGCCACTCCTTTTGTTTTTTTAAGTACACCTCCTTCTCTTTCCTTCAGATGGTTTCCTGCCTTCTAAATGCAGAGGCTCTTTTTTACCTGACTTCTTTTACAACATTTAACACAGTAGGTCTAGAGAATCAGAATACACATCCCTCTGGCCATGATGACTGTGTTAGGGGTAGGCAGGTGGCCATTGCCATGCAAATCAAAGCCTCTTGGACTGGCTGACCTGAGGAAATAATGCACCCTGTCCTAGGGAAGCCATGAAAGCATGGTCTACACAGAGCCATTCTTACCACCTGGTGAGAAAAACCCAAATGATAATGAAGCTCTTCAGTAGGGAGCAAAGCTGCAAGACAGAAGGACTGAGTCCTGACAACAGTGACGTCCTGTGGATCCAGCCATGCCAAATGTTAGATTTATCCCTGGCAAAACGCTCATGTGGCCCCCACACTGCCCTGCCCGCAAGTGCACACACACACACCTTCTCCTAGTTATTCAATCAAACTCGAATCT